AAGATTTAATTTATTTATTTATTATGTATACAACATTCTGCCTCAATGTATGCCCACATGCCAGAGCAGGGCACCAGATCTCAGTACAGATGGTTGTGAGCCACCATGTGGTTGCTGGGAATTGAACTCAGGACCTCTGGAAGAGCAGCCAGTGCTCTTAACCTCTGAGCCATCTCTCCAGCCCCCAGGAGAATGATTCTTAAACTTTGGTAGATGCTTCTACTTTGCCTGTTATAGATAAAATATTATTGTAAAATTGACAATGAAGGTGGAAGACTTTCTGCTTCATAAGTTTTTCAGTTTTTTTTCTGCAGAAGAGACAAAAAAAAAGAGGCAAAAAGTATAGAACACAATAATGCATGTTACCAAGGAAAATGATTCAGGGAAGGGATGGGTGGCTCCAGGGAAATCCTGAGGTGGCTGGCCACAGAAAGCTTCTTTAATCAGATAGTTTCCCTCATTCAGTTCAGGAAATGAAGATCCACTTTTTCTTAGTATTTTTAACCTAACTGGAGATCTTTGAGATATAATCTTAATCAAATTAGTGAAAGTGAATCATTTGGGAGGTCAGGTTGGAATTATTTCTTCATATGCTAGTTCTTACAGAATTTTATGGAATATAAGTGGCCTGAGAAGATGGTGCTTAGGACTCAGAAACATGAAGCTCCCCTAAAAGGATAGAAAATAAAGGAAAGGAAACAAAAGGAGATGAAACAAAAGGAAAAGAAGCAAAAACTAAACATCTGAAAATAGAGAACAATAAGAATTCGGTTTGGGCAAAATGATTTTCTTCAGTAAGTGAGCCCTGGATATGCCTGACATTTTTAAACCTCCATGTGTGATAGTAGATTTGAAACCCTGTAATCTGTCTGTGCAATTCAAATGAACATAGTACTTTATTGTATATTATAATCTCTATCTTGTTAAAATATTATTTCATCAATGTTGCACAAAGGATATTACTTTATGGCTTTCGATGGCCTTGCTCCAAAGTTCATTGAAAACTCGCACACACACACACACACACACACACACACACACACACACACACGTGCACGAACATACACACATTACTAAGAGGTAATGCAGAAGTATAGAGAGAGATAAATCTTAAGAAAGAGATTAAGTCTGTATACTATTGCGTCTGGAAAAATGGACGTTCACATTTGACTTTTGTAATGTTGGAAATGGAAACCCAGGAAGTGTTTCTAAGTGAGGCTTCATCCTTGTCTTTCATTGTCTTGTCTCCTCTCTTTAGCAAGCTTCTTTCTCCCATGTCCTATACATTATTTTATTGTCTGTATAGGAAATATCAGCCCTCGACTCTACCTCTGTGATCTGTGCTCTGGACTCCTGGGTTGCTTTAGCACTTACCACATTTCACTTAATGTTTTATTTAACTTTGGGTTCCTGGTTCTAAATGCTTAAGACATTCTGTGGGAAAATAATATTTGCTTGAAGAATGAGGGAACATTAAAAGCTCTAGAATGCAAAGAAAAAGTAGTAGATTTCATCTGGGGAGAGGAGACTTAGCAATAGTGAGATTAATTAGGAGCCTCTTACAATTGTTAACCGGTGAGGTGGGGCAATGAGCTCTGTTCTAGGAAGCTCTAAGTGGCCATTTAAAGGGGAAGTGAAAACAATGAAGATGTCACGCTTGGATAATATAAAATGTAATTATTTGTAACCAGAGGAAAATGACACAAGGGGGACTGTAATGATGGCCTGTAAACCAAATTCTAGAATTCAGTATAGAGTATGGATAGAAGCTGGCAAATTTTGATTTTTCATATATTAAGATATGTTACCAGTGGAAGGACAATATGTATAGAACAACCAACTCTCAAACTGAAACCATGCAATCCTGGTAAAAGATTGTGGATGAAGATCAGCAGAAAGCCATTCGTGTGGAACTGATATTAGAATCCACAGTGAATATAGAATCTCTGAATGAACAGAGAGAAGGGGAACAATGATGATAAAGAACATTTAGATCAAAAGGGTGAGAGAAAGAAGGGTCAAGAAAGTGGAGATTCGGGAATGAATAATAAAGAGGATAGGCAGAAAAGCAAGAATGTATTCTATACTTTTTGGAGAGTGAGCCATGATAGTCATTCATTTTGTTTCGAACAAATAGCAAGTAATATATAAATGGTTGATAGACAGGTAGATAGCAAAACACTGTCAAATCCTGTGCTTAAAACATCCAGGAGAAATGGATGGGGGAGTTTGAGGCAATCAGCTGGAGCTCCTGATTGAACATTTTCTCCTTAGATGAGCTTCTTATGACTGAACTTCCAGTTTCTTTTTCCAAGGAACTTTTATATCATGGTGCCAAAAGAAAGAACCTTTGATGAAATGATTTACTATCTACCAGCTTTCACTCTTGGGCTAGCTGTCTGTCCCCCACTTCTCCATGTCACAGAGTTGGTGGGTGTGCAGGCTATAGGAGACAGTGGCCCTGGGAGGACACTTTGAGACACTCATACTTGGGTCTGGAAATGGAGAGGGTGGATCCTGACTCCAGCGCCAGCTTCACAGTAAATGCAAACAATACATATTATCAATATAATGTCCTTTGCAAACTGAAAGCAAGAATTCGAAGGAGGAAAAGTAGCTTCTTGTTCATGAGTGTAGACCAACATTGGTTTGACAATTAAGGGGGTGAAGATGCATGATGTCAGGAAGCAGGGAAGAATGATAGTAAAAACTCAAGCTTTGGTAACAAATGGTCATTTGAAGGCAGGGTTGCAGCAGTATTTATAAAAATCCAGAGACAGAAATTGGGGTTCAACATGAAGGTCAGAAAAGCAAAACAGTCAGCCACTGGCTCTTATCTCTATCTCAGTTCGAAATGGCGATTCTGCCTCCAGAAATACCTAGAATGAGACTCTGATCTTCTGGAAAGCTTAATTTATTAAAATACCAATGAAATATCACTTCAGAGAGTAGCCATGTAAAGAAGGAGAGGGTAAATATTGGTTGTCAGCCAGAGCTTAAGACACTGAGTGGGAATTTGGCATTGCTGATTCTCCCATAAACTGTTGTCTACACTGCCTCATTTCCTCCCAGGTAGCAGACTGTCCACTCTATCTTCTCCATGGTCTACACTCCAATTTGTCGGCAGTGACTCAAGATCGACTTCCCTAAAACTGTTATGTCTCTATTTCCCAGATCTCATAGCTCTTGGGGATGGCGTTTTTCAAATACTTTCCACAAATGGCAGCTTTTAAAGATACAGTGATTTCCAAGACTCTATGGCAACAGTAATTCTGGAAAATACCATAGGGAATGAATACATGTAAATATCCTAAGAAGCAGCTTTGATGAAGGAAATCACATTGATATAACTTAGACTACATGACAATATTTGTTCATTGACCATTCTAGTTTTTTATTATTATTATTGTCATAAAAGTCTTAATAGTTTCATGTGAGGAATTGTTTTTCAGGTCTTGGAAGCAGTTAATCTGATAAATGGATGTATCATTAGTTTTAATAGTCATAGAAGCACAATTAACCTTTATTTCCCACATTAAGCATTTACAAGAGATTTAATGTAAGAATTCTAAAGAAACTTCAGTGGGAAGCTTACTTTGCTGCAGATAGCACGTAGTGATAAAATTTTGGGTGGTAGAGTCTTTCAGACTCTTCAAATTGCACCATTCAAGTGGATAATGGCTACTCAATATCAGTGCCCATTTTAGATTCGCCGCTAAATTCTATATCATTTTACAGAGCAGTTACTGTCTTTCGACCCCAGAACTTCAATCAGTTTTCCATCCAGTCCGAAGAATGGAAAGGAGGAATCCATCACCAAGATGACATCTTGTGTGCTGCCTTTTTACCCCCACAAACTCTTGCTACAGGTAAATTGAGCCTTCACTGGACAATGGACTAGAGAGAGTTTGTTGGCTTTGAGTAAATTAAAAAAAGGAAGAAAGACTTTTCTCAACTGAAAAGGGATTCCATTTCCCAATGAAGCGGTCATACAGTTCCTTTAAGTCCTTATTTTTATGGTAGTGAGGACCACCAGCTTCCATGGCTTTATCTGTGGTTTCACATACTGACTCTGCTTTTTAGCTACTAGATGATATTGTGACTTATTTATACGTCAATTTGTAGTTCTCTTGGCTAAGAATAGTTTTGTATGCATTCTTATGTTAAGGTACAGAGAACCAGTATAATATTTTAACACAGTGCTTGACATAGAACAGATTTATAACTGATTGTACTGTTCACTTTTCAAGAGCAGCAATAGAGCTTTTGGGTAAGAATCATACTTTGGTAGTACTCAGTTACTTCTAATTTAGAATATCTTGACTTTCTTCATTATCTGTGTAGATGACATGTTATCTCTTCTTCATAGGTATCTCATAGCAAAAAATAACTCTTTGGCATAATCTAGCTCTTAATTTATTCTAATACCCTCAGTTCTACAGGGAAAATGTTCTTCCAAGCACTTTGTTTATAATGAATTTTGAGTCACAGTGAATAATAGTAGATCTGCCATGGGGAGCTGAAATCCATCCCCTTACCTAATAGTTTCTGAACTAAGTAGATTGCTCTGTCCAGAACAGTATAATATTATTTTTTTCTTCTCCTCAAATATATATTTCACCAAAACTCAGCTGTCCTTTGTGCTCCTTACTTGACATTGTGCCTCTGCTCGGTAGTAGACTGTCCTCACTGACCACTGAGTGTGCCATTTGAACACTAACTGCTATGTGACTTCTCCACAGCACGGGCTTGCTCATAATTTTTTTCTGTTTGAGCTTTTCTCTCATTCTTTTAAAAAACAAAACAAAAGAGGAACAGATGACTTTCTGTAGAGAGAATTTTAGAATGAGAGAAAGCATTTTACAAAGAACTTAGCTGAAAGAGAAGCAAAGAACTCTCTTTGTGCACACACAAATAGTGTAGGAACAGAACTTTCTCAATACCTGCCTAGTTGTTTATCACCAATCTAAATACTTTTTATTCTTAAAATAAGCCCATAATATAAGTACAATTGTTTACCCAGTTTTATAGGTGAGGATATTTTGGAATTAGGATGAGTCAGTATCATGTGTATTATTATTGGCAGGACCTGGTCTCAGACTCAAGCACTTTAACCTCAGAGCCTTTATTCAGAATAATTTTTAAACTAAAATAAGATAGCTAGATGGCTCATATCCACCAACTGAATGGGTTACTTTATAAGTGCTGAAATTCCACAGTTAATAAAGTATTAGGTGTCATTATTATTCATATCTGCAAAAATTTAGAATACCTACTATTTACAAGATTTTTATATAATACACATTGATGATGGATTACTTTTATTTCTGCTTGCATGTTTCTGTAAAATCATCTGGTACTTTATGCTCTTTGCCCTGGCTCCTGCAGGGAGCTATGATGGAGAAATTGTTCTGTGGAATAGCAGCACAGAAAATGCTCACCATGTCCTTCACCCTGATTCCCAGAGGCAGCTAACATCTAAATTAGGTGAGTGCAAATTTGAAACTGAAATCTTAAGTTGAGTTGTGGTACAGTAGGCCTGTCTGCTATTGCATGCGTCTGATACTGTGTACACCTGATTTCTAGGTGACTGACTGCAAGCTCCAAGCATTAGAGATAGTGAAACCTTATCACACTGACTAAGAATCTTGAGACTAACTTGACTTTGCAAATTATGCACAGCATTCCAGTTTTCTCTTTATGCTGTGTCAGCATTTCTGTATTATTGATAGCAGGGGGAGAACTCTCATTTTTATCTAGCTTGGTTTTAACCAATAAAAGTTGCAGAATTGCCTTTGAGGGACTTTGGGTATCCCTTGGTAGGAAAATGGTAACTATGCTCACTTGATTGGCTTTTCAGCCTCCGTTTGAAGCTTATAATAAATATTATGCCACCTGGATATCATAAATTATTCCTTACTTTAGAAACAGGAGAGGAGCATTAGACAGGAGGATATTATATTTTATAGCAGTTAGTAGAGCACATGAATATTTTATGCTTAAGTAAAGTATCTCCACGATTGTCTTTCATGTTTTATTTTAGTTTCTGAGGAAACTAAAGGGTTTTCTTTAGATAAATTTCTTTAGATAATGGTTATTTCATTTCCTATTATAAAGCCAGTTCCTATGGTCTCACTTGGGTAAGCTCATAGATAATAAATTTTGAAGTACTGGCCACTAGAGGCAGTATTTGTGTGTGTGTGTGTCTCTCTCTGTGTGTGTGTGTGTGTGTGTAAAGCTGAAGAGTGAATTATTGGGAGTAAGATAACCAATTTAAGAATTTACGATTTTGAGGGATTATTTGGCTGCAGACACAAAGCTTTGATCTGCTTCATGTACAATAAAGATTAATCTCAAAATTCCAAGGGGATAGTATGATTCTGCCTCTGTCTTTCCCTTTGCCTCCTAGAGGATATCATCTGTATTTAAACCATCCTAACTGTGGCTATGATTAAATACATAAAGAAATAAAACAGACAAAGTTACAATAGTTGTCCTGGTCATTTTCCTATTTCTGTAATAAAGTACCAGGTCAAAGACAATTTGTAGAAGAAACAGATTATTTACATTTCTAGTTCTAGCGAAGTAAAGCAAAGTGGAGGCATGCTGATGGGAACACGAACCTCTTAAACTGCACACATGAAACAGAAGGTAACTGGAGATGAGTAGACAAAGCTACTGTGGCCAGTGAACCCCAGGGATCCACCTCTCTTCATCTCCCCGGCAGCATTGCGACACAAGTGTGTACCACATTGCCCTTTGTCTTTAAGTGGGTTTTGCAGATGGAACTCAGGTGTTCCTACCTGTGTGGTGAGCACTGTACCCACTGACTTATCAATGCACCCCAAGTATTACCATATTTTTTTACTTTTGGATATTTGAAGGTATCTGCATAGAGATTTTACAAAACTGCAAGCTAACAAGATTCTGACATAATCATTTTCAGTTTTCATAATGTGTCCTGAAGATGATATAATTATACAATTAAACTACCATTAGGAATGCCCTTTCCAGAGTAACCCACTAACAAATGAACCATTAAAGAAGATATTTAAGTATGCATATATTTGTTCATTTGATTTCATGTTCATTAAATACTTGCAAGATTAGCATTAACTAGAATTTCATGCCATTAAAGACATATTTATAGTAAACATATTGAGATTTCTGCAAAGTTAACAATGACTAAGATGTAAAGTTCTAATTAATTCATTACAAGGGAACACAGGAAGTGTGCCTGTCATATACAAAGCAAAAACGAAATCCAAAAACTTTTCTGTTGAGGTTGTAGAAGAGAATAGTAAGAGCCTTGATGGGAACTGACTCAGTATATGTTGTGAGACTTGGTGGCCTCATATCACCCAAGGCCTGGATGGGAGAGACTCTGTTGTTTAAGCTTTCTGGTTTGATGAGAAGACAGTTCTCTTCACCAATTGCACTGTCCTTTCCTTCATCACAAACACAGAAGCCCAAAAACTTAATGCCAAGAGAAGTTGCTCAGCACACTGTTTGGCAGAGCAGGCCACTCAGGCTGCCCGAAAAGTTGAGACTGACACAGAAGGTAACAATGCTGTTACGAAACTTTGCTTCCTCGAAGGAAGAAGAAACAATGCGGCAACAGGTAAAATATATGTTTATATCTGCCTTTTGCTATTTGAGAAAGGGAGCGATAAAGGGTTTTATTATCTAGGTCTTACAAAATTTGTGTAGCCACGTAGCCTGCACTGGTTCATGAAAGGACGGGGACATCTGGACAGGAAGCTTGTTCTGGGGAGGGTGGTGAATGGACCTGCCGAATAATTTACCTGTTGTCTATTTTTGAGATGAGGTCAAGAAAAATTCCAGCAATTCTTTCATACTGCAGACAACTGACACAGGTGTTTTAGGAGGGCAGAGGGCATAGACAGCTTGCATGAGTCAATGTGTGGGTTGACACGTATCAAAGGAATAGTATCTGTTACTGCACTGACAAGGTTTGAGATAGGACTCAATGGGGAGGTTTGAATTGACTGCATACCCTACTTTAAGTACTGCCTGGTTTACATATTGAACATTGTTTGAGTGTCTTTGCTATTTGAATTTTACTTCCTACAATAGATCAGAGTCTCATTTGAATTTTTTTTTGTGAAGAGAGATACCAGCATTGGTGCTACCCTGTGACTTTTTGTGGTGAGCTACTAGTTTATAGACAAGATAACAATATGCCTACTTTTGTATCATGATTCGGATACAGCTTACGTCTTGGTCCACAAAATCTAATGTAGAGAAGATTCACTGAACATTCAACTAAATTATATTTTGAAGTTGAAGAACATCCTTGACTAAAGTTACACATTCCAGAGTAGGAGCATGAGGATTAGAACTATTAACCAAAAGGAAGAGAGATCTGAGAGAACTAAGAGAGAGAAACACAGAGCAGCATCTGGAAGGAAATTCAGTGAACTCTGAATTCACACGTGTTTAATGTGATTTCTACGTGCTTACGTACTTCACTCTAAAAGGGGAGGACAGAGGCAACAGACTTCATTAACTTGATATAAAGAATAGATTTTAATGCTCTGACCTTTGGTCCAGGTAAAGCAGATCACCCTCTATACCCAAAATCCTAATTAACCACACCCTCTGTCAGAATCCCTTGTTTGTAGTCACATCTGTTGTCAACAACTTTGAAAGAGCAAAAATAAACTTGAACCCACTGACCTCCAGTCACATCTGTGGGCCCTCACGATTTGAGAAATATTTTCATGTTGTATGAAACTTTTGGGATCTGGACATGAGCATTATATGTTTAGATAAAGAAATGAACATATCAGAGTCATATTTGGTATAATCACTTTTCTGCATTGAATTTGCTAATGAAAAACGTGCATTGTATTTATATAAAAATCATCATCAATAACCGTTTGTTTCAAAAACCTTATGGAATATCTAAGATGAATTTGAAATTTATTACAAAACTATTTTTTAAAACACGCTTGTCCTCACATTATGAAACATTACCCTAAAATTACTCTCAATTCCTCATAGCTAATTCTTCTTAATATTAGGTTTCTGGTGTTTCTCCTGAAAAAGACAAGCCGTCACTTCCACCCTAACTCTGTGGTTAATTGCCAGAACAATTATGTAACACATGGAAAATGATCTACAGATTTATCTAATAACAAATTGGCCACAGAGGAATACTTTCAGAAAACATTTTTATGTAAATGGAAAGTATAAAAGGTTAATTCCAGATCTATTAACAGCAACAAACGGGTTCCACAAGGGCTCGCAATAAAATTCCTGATGAAAAATTTAAAAATGAGCTCATGAAAAGAATCCATGATTTGCTGCTCATTAGAGAATCAGTTTCTGTGCTGACGTGAGTGCATACATGCATCCAGACCTCAAATGAGGGTTGTTGCCTCTGTGTACACGTCCAGCGGCTTACCAGGGATAATAAGTTTTATATTTTCATATATCTATACACAAAAATACATATTTATATCTATTTTATGTTTTCAGGATAGTACTATAATGTTTAAATTAATATTTTATAAATTCATCAAATAAATGAATTATTTTATCTGCGTTCAATGCAAATAATATCAATGTAAAATGAACGAGTAAAATAAAACAAAGCAAAGGAATATTATATATAACCTGTGTCATTAATGCTTCACACAAATTCTTCTCAATGTTACAGCAAGGGCAACATAGAATAATTGCCATTATATAATGTAAGAGAATCAGAAATGGCGCTCAGTCTAGTTTGCAGTGCTACTGACCTCTCCACTCTCATATGCTTCCAATAGGAGGAGCCAATAGGAGATGCCACTTTGGGTTTTCTGGGTTTATTTTTCTAATTTGTTTCCCCCATGCTACAGGAGGTGCTAACCTGGTGTCATGTGGAGCATCTGGTTACGTCAGGTTCTGGGATATATTTAAGAAAGAACTCTTGGCTGAATTTTTGGCTCATGCTGGAGTTGGATCCATTATTATGTCTACTGATAAACAAAATCAATACCTTGCCACTGGAGATCCCGATGGATGGTTGAAAATCTGGAACATAGAGGTAAACGGAAAATGTTCTCACAGAAACATTATTATTTAAGCACAATATTTGATTAAAAAAAAGTATTTGGCTGAGTGATAGCTTTTCTATTTCCTAGAAAAAGGGAGAAATACTCTGTCGAAAGTATTTTAAAGAACCCATTTGCCTGGCAGTGGTGGCGCATGTCTTTAATCTCAGAACTTGGGAGGCAGAGGCAGGCAGATCTCTGTGAGCTCGAGGCCAGCCCAGTTTACAGAGTGAGTTCCAGGATAGCCAGGACTACATGGAAAAGCCCTGTCTCAACAAAAGAAACAAAAATTGAAACTATTTGCTTATTTTTAGCATAAATTTGTTTTCAAGTAATTCTCTCTCTCTCTCTCTCTCTCTCTCTCTCTCTCTCTCACACACACACACACACACACACACACACACACAGGAACAAAAACAAAACAGATTTTTGTGCTGAAGCATAGTAATATCCAGTCATGTCAGTTGTCCATTGTAGGAGTGTGGTCTTGTCAGTACTTCACTGTAGCACTGATTGGACATAAACATTAGGATACATCTTAGGTGAAAAAACATCTAAATTCCATCTAGTGTGCTGGTCCTTCATCTACTGTTATTAACATCCTCTGTTAGTTGATATAGCAACTGTTTACCTGCTCCTGAGGTAGAGAGAAGGGGGGGAGCAGAGAAAAATGTATAGCTTAATAAAATCAATTAAAAATCATAAGATGATATACTATTTGGTGTCTCCATGTGGTCAAGCTCCCTTCTATCAGATATTAATTACTCCCTTTTACTCCTATTCTTTCTTTTCCCAAGGTGGTCATTTCAGTGGGCAGACTTTCGTCAACATTAATGTAGCTGTTTCTAATCTCCATCATCATGAACTTTCTCTTGAAGGAAGATCATAAGTTATTATTTCTAAATGCACACTCCCATTTTCATATCAGGCTTCTTAAAGATTGATATTGATTTACAAATCATCTATTTATTTACTATTTAATTATTTGAATTTTTAACATTTTTTGGGTATTTCTTTCCATTCAGAACTATTGTACCAATTCCACTGGGAACAAAATCACCCAGCCTCCAACCTTGCTCAGATCATTTCAACCCCATGAGGACCGAATAAGTTCTTTGCAGATGTGTGAGTCACGTGGTCACTTGGTTATCATTTCCTCCTCTGCGGACTGCAGTGTCTGTGTGACTGGGCTTTGCGATGCTCCTGCCTTGGTCTTTGGTCAGGTACGCAATTCCTTCTCTGTTATTCTAGAATTCACATGGCAATTATTGTGAATCTATGCTTACTTCTATGGGAGTCTCCTCTACTGTCTATAGTTTATGGTTACGGATGGACTGATATACAATGCTGCAGGTGTTACTCTATAATCACGTTCCCTGATTACCAACTGCAACCAGCCCCATGAAGGGGAGGGCGCATGCTTTTATACCTAGTTTGTTCTGTTACATGCCATGAGGAAGGAGAGAGAAAACACGTATGAATTCCAAAGATTTTAATAATTCACCACATAACAGGGTCCCTGATGAATCAGGGCTGCAGAACAAGGACCCGGGAGTCTTTTTTTTTTTTCTGACCGTCCCAAGCGTGGGCAAAAGTGGGGTTTATAAGAATAAAAATTACATACATTTGTTGCAAAGTTACAGTTACAAGTTTCACCAACCAGAAGTCAAGATTAGTGATTTTTTTTCTTGTGTTTTCTATCGTTGTCAACCAACATACAGTGCAAGCCTTACAGCCCAGACAGTCAGATTCATTTGTTCTTTATGCTATTAGGAACAACCATAATGTTTCTAAAGAACGAAAGATGAATTATGACTGTTACTATGATTAGGGATGAGATTGATCAACCGTTGGAAAGTTCTAAGCTCCCCTAGGTCTTGGGAACGTGAAATTTATTTCATCCTGAAGATGAAATCAAAGTCACAGTACTTAGACCAAGGTGCTTTTGCCTGCTTCTTCCTTCAATATGACATGGAAAGATGGTAGCTCTTAATGGCTCCACATAGTTATTGTAGAATTTATTTCAGAAAAACCCCGAGTTTTGTTCCTAGTGCTCCAGCAGATCACCAGCTGAAGCCTTCCTTGCCCTCTGTTCACATCTCTGTGGATTCCACAGACCGTCCCTTTCTTACCCACATCCCCACTAGTCTCTCTCTTTAGACCTGAACTTCAGCAGTCACCTCCTGCTCAACCCCAGCCAGAAAACTAGGTAAGTTGCCCACAGTCCTTCTCCTTTCTGTCTGTGTTCCCTTAGTCTCCATAACTTAGGGTTGTCCCTAGCGTTACAACAGATCACAAGGTGCAGCTTCTCTTCCCTCTCTGTCCATATTCCCACAGACCATCCATCCCTTCCTCGCCTTCAATCTCATGCTTAAGGATTTCAAGCTAATGATATGAGGAAGGCATTATGAAATCTCCCTCTGTAACTAATGAAAGATGTTGAGGCCAGGCTTATGTTAGGAGTGTCCCTCCATAGAGACTCAGAGAAGCCATTGTGTGATGTTGTGAAGGTGAAGCCTGGATTACCTTGGAGACCCCTAGATGCTGGAGATGATAAAGTCATGGGATATCTGATAATGAAAGCTGCTAACAGGGAGTGGAACAAAACCAAGAGGAATAGGTTTATTGAAATCAGCAACACTGTATGGAGTTGGAGATATGGCTAGAATGTGACATCAGAGTTGGAGATGCAGGGTTTGGAGTTTGTCCTGTAGTAAGGAGCTGCTTGTTTATTACTTGGCCACCCAGACTCCCAAAATAATCACATAGAAACTATATTAATTAAACCACTGTTTGGCCTATTAGCTATAGCTTCTTTTTTTGCTAGCTCTTACATATCAACTTAGCACATTTCTATTAATCTGTGTATCGCCACATGGGTGTGGCTGTGGCTTACCAGCAAGGTTCCATTCAGCATTTGTTTCCTGCAGGGCTTCATGGCGTCTCCCGACTCTGCCTTCTTTCTCCCAACACAGTTTAGTTTTCCCTGCCTACCTCTATTCTGCTCTGCACAGGCCCAAGACAGTTTCTTAATTAAGCAATGGTATTCACAGCATACATAGGGGAATCCCACATCACCCACCTTTTCTATCTAAATAAAAAGAGAGGTTTTAACCTTAACATAGCAAGATTACAGACAACAAAATAGGTATCAAGAAAGAATTACAGTTACAATATTTATATCTACATTATCTTTTATCATAAATGAGGAAAAATATAATTATTCTTCAACTCTACCAAAGACTCCAGAAGGATACAACATTACTTAAGTAAACAAAAACTACATTGTAAGCAACTTCTAAAACTCTAGAATTGACAGAGATGTCTCACTATCTGGACAGTCACCCAAAGTTCTTCTCTATTATTGGATCATTCTTTTTCAGGCTACAGGCTCATAGTATCCAGCAGACATTTCCATGAAGCAGAAAGTTTCAAAAATAGTTTTGCCTATATTGGCAGTTGGTCAGTAACTTTCTTTCATATCCTGCAGAATATCTGGCAGACTATTTCATGAAGCAGGAACCCTGAAGACTGTCTTCACCTTCTTTAGGCAACTTCCAGCAGTCACTTTTCTGTGGGTCCTGAATATCCAGTCCATACAGCATAACGTCAAGCAGTCCAAGCAAGAGCAGCTTCTTGCCTATATCACTTTTTTGTTTTACTCTAATTTCATTTGATAAGTTTGTTTCTTTCTTATCTTGTAGCTCATGTTCTACCTTACAAAAGTTATAAATATTTCATCTCTGTTACAAGACTAAGACCACAGCTGGTCTTGGTCATTTGTGTTTATGAATATCAATGGCAGTTTGTTTATTAATCTTGTACAGGGCGATGGCACATAAATGTTAGGTGAAAATAAATTTTATGTAAATAAAATATATTTTTATTTTTAGGCAAGCCGTTGGGATATTGAAAACTATTTTTCTCTTTCTAAAAGAGGTACTAGTTTCATAGAAAGTGAAAGTCAAGAAGAAAGTGTGAAAATAATTCCTGCCTTTTCTAAAGAGGAGTCATGTTTAGCCCCGACAGAAGACTTTCTACTAACTGAAGAAATCAAAGACAATTTAAAGCACCTGTAAGTACTTTGAATCCTTGTCAAGATGTGAAGTTTAGATGTGAAATGGGTACAGCTGGGCCTAATTTCCCGTGGGGCTCTGAATCTATCCAGTGGCGACCTCAAACTTTCTTAAGGTTTGGAGATGATTGAGTGTGCATGCTGGGATATGTTCTTAGGGCTTCTTATGTATTTTATTTCTTGTCTCCATTTATTTCTTACTCTCTTTATATTTATATTCTCTTTCTCTGTGTCTGTGTGTAATTCTTCGTCGTCTGTCTGTCTCTTTCTCTCTCTCCACCCACTGTCTCTTTATCTCGGTCAGAGGATCCCTGACAATGTCTTGCCAGGTAACCCAGGTTGTTCTTGAACATTCTTCTTCCCCAATCTCCTCAGTACTAGGACTGTAGGTATTGTTTTCTTTTTTTTTAATGAAATTTGTTTATTTATTTCACTCCCAAGCACAGTTTACCCTCCTCCTATACCCTCCTCTACCTCCTCTCTCCCCCATCTACTCTTCTGTTTCTATTCAGAAAGGGGCAGGCCTCCCATGATTATTAACGAAGCATGACGAATGAAGTTGCTCTAGGTCTAAGCACTTCCACTTTTATTAAGGATGGGCAAGGCAACCCTGTATAAGGAATAGGTTTCCCAAATCCAGCCACAACATTAGGAATAGTCCCTGCTCCCACTGTTAGGAATCTCACAAGTAGACCAAGCTACAAAACTGTAGGCCTTTTTTTTTCTATCCAGCCAGCCAGCTCCTAAATAACAACACAGAGACCTCTTATTAATTATTGAATCTTGGCTAATAGCTTAGAATTGTTTCTAACTAGCTCTTATGACTTATAATTAACTCACTTCTATTATTCTATATATTGCCATGTGACTTGTTGCTTTATCTGTCCTCCAGCATGTCTTAGTCCCTCTGTGTCACCTGGCAACTTCACCTTTCTTCTTCCCAGTGTGCTTTGTGTTTGGTTCTCCTATCTATATCTCCTGCCTAGCTAATGGCTATTTAGCTTTTTACTAAACCAATAGGCACTTTGGGAAAGACACATCTTCACAATGTTCCAAAGATTATTAGACATTTCCCCCTTTTTGTCTAAATAAAAAGAAAAGGGTTCAACTCTAACACAGTAAAACTATACATAATAAAAATTATCAAGTAGAAATTACATTTACAATGTGCAGTCCATTTTATTTTGCAGTTTTGGAGACAATACTACATTATTTATCCTTTCTTGTTGATTCCAATGTTCTGTTCCTAATTTAATTTCTATCATAACTAAGGAAAACTGTAATGATAACTATCTAGCCTTCAACTCCATCAAAGACTAAAGAAGGATTTAATATTATTTGAGTAAACTATAAGTGCAGTATGAGTCACTTCTAAAATGACAGAGACATCTGGCTTCCTGGTCAGTCATCTGCAGGTTTCCTCCAACGTTACGGCATCTATCTATGATATAAGCCTATAATATCTAACAGACTTTTCTGTGAAGCAGGAAATATTGAAACACTGTTTTATCCCATCTTGACAAAGTTTGGCAGTCACATTCTTTTGTGTCCTGCTTGTCCAGTTTGAACAACATTTTGACAGTAGTCGAGACAAAGGCAGTTTCTTGCCCAAATTTCTAGATTTGCCACAAATAAAATAAACTCTATATGGAGGTTCTTTGCTACCCATAATCATTTTTTAAAGTAAATTGTTGCTGCTAGGAGCAAATGTGTCTAACATCTCGTGAAAAGTTTTAAGTTATTAAATACAGCACTAAATTTGACTATATGTTTGATGGTTATGGATGCTTAACTACTGACATGCATTTCTTTATTAAACATTAATTTTTAAATGAGTAGGATAAACACAATACCCCAAATAAGAATAGAAACATACCTACAATATAACTTTAAATTTGTATCAATAAACCAAAATCCATACTAATTTAAAATAGTTTGTGATTAATAGTTGCTTTTAGGATTAAAGTAGACTTCGTCCATTTGCCTGCAAAATTCAAGATGTCATTATTTTTTCTGCTGTTTAGTACTCCATTGTGTAAAAGTACCACATTTTCTTCATCTATTCTTTGGTTGAGGGGCATTTAGGTTGTTTCCAGGTTCTGGCTATGACAAACAAAACTGCTATGAACATAGTTGAGCACATGTCCTTGTGGCACGATTGAGCATCCTTTGGATATATACCCAAAAGTGGTATTACTGGGTCTTGAGGAAGGTTATTTCCTAAAATTCAATGAAAATGACCACACAACATACCCAACTTTATAGGTAATTGATATTCTTCTGAACTCTGGTTCTTGTATTTCTGTGTCCTGTACCCTGACCACAGTATAGACATATTTGGGGATGGCACCTTTCTGTAATTAAAGAAAGTTTCTCCATCTATTTGAGACCATCTAAATTCTTGTCTTCTGTTTCTTCTTTCAGACTTAATTCTTACATGTCTTTATAGTTATAGTCTTTCTCCTAATTACTCATTTAACATCGTTTTCAAACAAAACTATTATTATTTCTTTTCTCCAATCTGTACTTCTTTTCTTTTTGTATTAGTTAAAATTTCCTTTAATCTGATTTTGAATGGAGGAAGGATTGAATAAATTGATTTCTAAATGGTGGAGAAACTTTGCACATTTGAATAAATTCTACTTGGCTGTTTTATATGTCTCATTTTTATGTAGAGTTGGATTGGCTTAATAGTATTTTAAAGTTTTGAAACTATATTCGTGAGAGAGATTGATGTGTAGATTTTTTTTGTGTGTGTTTTGTTTTGCTACAAGAATTGTGTGCTGCTTCCTAGAATAAGTTACTAAATATTCCTTTACTCCTATTTTGTGGCACAAAATTGGTATTTCTTGTGACTTACATGTTTCCTAGAATTTACCAGTGACTCTCTCTGGATTTGATACTCCTTTTCATAATGTTATAATTGATTCAGTAAGCAACTATTACATGCTCACATAAAGCACTGTTCCCATTATACATATATAGTTACAAGATATAATCTGGTAGTCATTTGAACTTACTTATGAAAGAATGAAATTCACTCACTATTTATTCCAAATATGAAGAGAAACAATGCTTAAAATGATAAGAAATCTGCTTTATAAAACTCCCAGCATGTATCAATTGAATGCTACTGTATTCTTTTATTTCTATGTTGAGCAATAGATTATCATTCACAACACATACTGTCTTTCTTTCTTCCCTGTTACTCATTGATCTGTTTGTTTTCCAGTTGCTGAGGTTTTAAGAAATGGAAATGCTAAAGGAGAAGTAAAATGATGGAATTCTCTAGGCTTAGCACATGGGCAAACCTTGCACTTTTAATATAGGAATGCATACAGTTGGGGGTTCTTTGGTGACATCCACAAAGGGATCTTTGTTTTGAATGTTTCAAACTGATGCACCCATTGGTTGTTTCCTGAGGTAACACACACACACACACACACACACACACACACACACACACACGGTGTATTTAGACTAGAGCCTGTGCACAACTCTACTTGAGTTAATTTCTGTGTGGGTATAGTCTGTCCATACATACAGCCTTACATTGACACATGTCCTACTGTGTTCTCCTTCCCGCTTACTTGTGGAGCTCCTACCCACAACACTACCTACATACCTGTTTATGTTTTAATGACATAGCAGCCTACCGTACCATCTAAGGTCATTTCAGGGTTTATACTTGCAGTGTTTTGACTGCTGAGCATGAAACGAGGCTCAAATAAGGAAATGTGAAGTGTGCTTCACTTTGTGGAAGAGGAATGCACACCGAATCTCTTCTGGATATTATTAAATTTGTGTTTGCCACTTCTTCAGTGTGACAGTGAACACAAGCATTACAAGATCCATTTTGAAGCAATCCCTTTGGTACAGTGGGTCAGTACAAAGAATGTACCACATCATTTTGGAGCAGGAGGTATAGACCTTTGTTTTAAATTTCTAATTAATAATTTTGCTTTTCAAAGCTTTCAACTTTTGCTGAAACAGAGGCAAAAGAAAAATGTTCTCTTTTTAACAACCTGCTATGCTAAATTGAACTTTGATATTTATTCTTCTATTTCTTTGAATTGTAGCTTTCCAAAATGTCAAGTATCAATTTATTCTCAGGCAAAGGACATAATGCTTTAGAAACAGAGCATCACTAATATGTACAAGCATAGAAGGCAGAGAATGGAAAGACTTTACCAAGGATGCGATGCTTCCCACCAACTCAGTTTGGAGATGAGCAAAAGCGTTAACTGGGGCCAACACAGCAAGATCATGATTTCTCTTTATTCCATAACCCTGTAAGGGTCGATGCAAATATTATATGTTCTGGCCAACATGCTAACTTACCATTTTAAAGATAAATTTTCATTTTATTTATGAGACAGAGAGAGAGAGAGAGAGAGAGAGAGAGAGAGAGAGAGAGAGAGAGAGATGAAGATAAAAGAGAGAGAAAGATACCGAGAAAAGCAGAAGGAGAGACAGGGGAGATTGAGAGAGGTCATGAAATAGAGTTCAGAGTGAAACAGCTAAAAGGCAGCAATGCCTTTTCATGAGTCTGTTTGTGTCTGCATGAATACTTCTCAATCTTCCACACCCCAATAGTGACAACCATATTAACAACCCTTTTGGGACTGTCTGCAACCCTGACCCTGGTACAGACATACTAACTAGAATAAGTGATGCTTTTACATGTTAAAATATAAAACTAAAGTAACTAAGAGGAAGTGTAAATCAGGAAAAGAAAGTCATGTGTCTAGAAAATACCACTAAAATTAACAACAACAAAAAAAGATCTGTTGCTCTGAACCCCCTCAAATACTGATGTAATTATGTTTTCTCCCCCCAGGACATGTTGACCAGTGCTTCTTATTTATTTATTTATTTATTTATTTATTTATTTATTTATTTATTTTAAAAGAAAAAACTATCTTTTTTTTTTCATTATTCATACCAATCCAAGTTCCCACTCTCTCCCCTCCTCCCATTCCCTTTAAATACCCTCCCAC